CTTCATTAGAGGGATGATTTGTCTGATGTCATGAGGGGGTGGGAAAGAGAAAATGATGAGTCCATTTGATAGATTAGGAGAATGACGTGCGCATTGAAAAAAAAACTTTTTTTTGGTCCAGTCAACTTTGAAAAAATCCTAAATGAAGTTTTATAGATCATTCATCGATCTCTGGATCATTTTTACACTTTTGGCTGTAACTTGGGCCCCACTGAGGCTAGGAAGCTGATCTTTTTTTAATTGGTAGGTAAATTTTACGATCTATGCAATGGAATTGCAATATTTTATTTATCCCGGGATGAATTATTTTCAACAGTTGATTATGAAAAATTTTTAATTGTCTCCTTATCGTCTTTTATTACTTCGTGATGAAAAAATCGAGAAAATGGGAATTGTATTGAGGATTGTCGAGTGAAGCCACGAAACCGTCGAGTTCGGATATTTGATTAATTGAATTAGTTTGAATGACTTTTTTTTGTTACAAAAAGTCTAAAGTCCTCTCCACAGACTCTCCCCCGACTTCCACCCTCTCGACCTCGTTTAAAATAGAGATAAAAGGTGATTCAGGAGAGAGAGAGTGGAAAAAGAGGAAAGTTTCATCCCTCACATTTTTATCCCGCGATTATATTTTTTTGTGATTGCATTTCTCCATCTCCCGGTCATGCGAAAGAGGAAATAGAGAATTTTGCGAGTCAAAGACATCCGGAATAATTCATGTGTCAACGCTTTTCTGTGTACACTCTCGACAATTAAACTTGGGTTGAGTTTCTATGCCCAAGCGAAGTGAATTAATTAGTTTCATTATCACCGACAAGCCTCTGTCATCGAGAGCTTGGAATTATTGAAATATTCAAATTTTCGGTGGTGGAGGGTTGCAACGACATAAGTCTGAGTCCCAAATTATTCAACCCCTCATTCTCGAGTTCAGAAATGTTTTTTCATTCCAAAGTAGAAATTAAAACTGAAAAAATTTTGCGAATTCAAAATGGACAAAAAAAAAATGATGGATCTTCAATATTTTTTTGGTGGAAAAAATTGAGATACAAAAGCGCGACAATATTTTTTTTCCACTTTTGTGAAATAAAAATACAGGAGAGTGGAATTAATTTTTTTCGATTGCAAAAATTTATTTTGACATCCGGGCGGAACCCACTGACCCCGGCCAAGACACTACGTAGGTCGCCGGGTCACGAGGATGTTAGGGGTCGATGTACGTCACATTTGTTATTGTTTGTTTAATCACCATTCCGTTATTTCTTAATAAATTTAATAAAACAATAAAAAAAAAACAATTCAATTTTTTCGAAATTTATTGAGAAAAGGGACAATCGCAAATAGAAAAGACTCCAAGATCAATTTTTCCCTTCACTAGTCCCCAAAAGTTCAAAAATGTTCCAGAAAATGATTGATCGGGAAATTGATTTTTCTTCAGTAAACAAAATGCTTCTGTTTGTGCGATTGATAATTGAGTATCCAACCGTAGAAAAATATTTTACGGATGAAAAAAATGATGAATTAATAACGCAAATGAATTTCTCGAAGAAAAACAGGGAGGAAAATTTAAGTGGTTGTTCTGGGGTTCGCCTGAGGTAATTAACGATTTTAATATTTAATATCACGGTGATAATTCACAAACAGCGAACAAACCGAGAAATTACTGATAACGTAATTTTTGTGCTCCCACAACCGGAAAATTATCGTGAGTTACACGACACGAGTTGAGGTCGAACACCAACTGAACCCTCTCCGGGCGTCACGACGCCGACGCCACCTTTACCGAGTACACCAATCCCACCCCCTTTTTATCCACCCAATCCCCTCCCCCTCCCACCCAATCCCATTCCCCTCCCACCCAAAGCCCGTCGGTGTACCTAGAAACTGCAAGCTCGAAACGTACGCGCACCTTCCGTCGTCGGTTTAACGCAACTACATGGAACTGGTGGATGTATTACCAACATGAAGTATTATCCTATGGGTGGCTGACCTAACACGACCTATTCCACTGTTCAAAAACTTATTTTCCCCATTCTTTCCATTTTTCCCCATTTTTCGCCATTTTTACAGTCCCAACAATATCTTTCAAATGCCGAAAAACCACTGAATCCATCATTTGAAATTTTTAATATCTAAAGTTTCAAAGGCTGCACGGAGGGGGTGAAGAGGGAGAGGGTGACGGGTTGGGGATGTCACTACTGGAAAGAACGAAAAATTTCAGCCGAAATGAAAAAAAATACGACGCTTTTGCTCCCATAGAACGGGAGTTACAGCGAAAAATGAGAAAGTGATCTAGTGATCGATAAATAACAGATTTAGGATTTTTGAGTGATCTACCGAGTCATAGTAGGTCATCATACAGACTTTTCCATCGGAAATTTCCCTGGCAATCTATTGGAAGATGTTTTAAAACTTGTCGAGTATGAAAATGGCTTCCCGGTGGAAAATTGAATTTTCCATCAATTCTCAATGGAAAAACAGAATGAAAGGATCGGAAAATATGTTCCACGTCCCGAGTGTAAGAAGTTGAGATGAGAAAATGGAGGGGTAAAAAAAAAATTCACCGCCATCACGGTATTTTATTGTGATTATTTCATGACTTGCGTTACATACGAGAATGAATGCACCTGTAGGTATATCATGATAGTCACGTATGTCCATCGATTTCCGATTGACTCGTACGTGCATATAACGGAATGCATCGTCAGGGGTTCGTTTTCATTTCCCCTGGTGCAAAAGCCCAACCAGTTTTCTGGTGTTGGTGGCACTCAGATGGGCCATAGGTTTCAGGTACGACAGGTTGTTCTAGACCTCATGTCACACCAGCCACAGTAGGTGCAACTATGAAAATCGATCTGCCTACTTTGGTGATGAATCGCTGACCCCCGAAGAGGTCACCAATCTCATCACACTTCAAATAAAAACAATCCGATTTCTCGGAAACGATCGTGATCCCCCATCCCCTTTTTCTCATTTAGAAATTTGCTAAACGATCCCGAGATCGACGAGCGATCGATGAAATGAATGAATTGATTGATCTTAGAAGAATTTTTATCACTCGAAAATGATTAATTTCCCTCTTCTAGTACTGGAGTTACAGAAATCGTGAAAATGATTTGCCGATCGATAAGACTCCAATGAGGATTTTCTCGAAATCTACTCATCCGATTTTTATGTTTTCTAATCGAGTGGTAAATTGACCGATCTATCCACCTGGGTAATTTCCAATCCAATCAAGGTCAGCCGATTTACGAGACTCGATATATCGACTGTCTGAACGTGATTCAATAACTTTTGTGTCTGGTAATCTGATAGACAGAAAGATAAATGGCGGCCGACGCTATTCCCCGGTGGATAGACGGGCCATAGGCAATCACGGCGACCCTTCTTGAATTTCCGTCACTCCCAATATTCCGTCACCCAGGTTATTTCCTCGTTTGTACAAGACCAAAACTTAGATATTTGTTCCATCGACGTGCTAATAACAACTTTATAAATCTTTCACCATGAAAAATGATGTTGAACGCGTTAAAGGAAAACGTCTGGGTGAAACTCTCGTGAAGATGAGGACGAGGATGAGAAAATTGATGATGTGTGCCTGAGTGAAGTGGAGCGAGATATCGAGTGTTCATTGATTCTCGAATATGTTAAAATAGTTTTACGCGAATTTTTGACACTCCCGGTGGAAACAGATATGGAATTTTATCGTTACGCATCTTGGGACTGATTTAAATTTTATGAGACCCTTGGGGATAGCATCGGACGCCGTCTCGACGCCGTGACCGAGTGGAATGATTTCTTATGGTTTATTACTATTACGAATTCATGAGAAATCCAATTTCTTTACGATGTAACGTACAAACAAGGTATTTTACGAGTTCTGGTGGTTAAACTTCAAGGTGTATACACCCTCTCTCGGTGAAGAGGTGGATGTATCGATCGTACACCTCAACGGTAGCACAACGAATAACTGCAATGGGGGGCTTTTTGTCTGGTCATGTCTGGGGGCGGCACTGAATTCTACTCAAACCTTTTGTTAAAAATCCAAATCTACCCCTCAATGGTTGGAAGAAAAAAAAAACATTTCTGTGGCTTCGGTTTTGGATTTATCGTGAAACCCGTGTCAGACCCCGGGGATTATTTTACCAGTCGTATCGAATTTTTATTGAATTAAATGACGAAGGGTGAAATAAAGAACGACATCTATTCAGAATCACTGCATTCAAGAAAATAAAAGAGTATTTATCGCGATATTTACCTCTCAATTTTCAAGAGCTTCACTCACTAGAAGATTATTTCACCAACTTTTAAACCAATTGAATTGAAGAAACTCAAGAGAATTATGGAAAATTATTTTGATATTAGAGATTGTTTCGAAGTAAAGTTGTTAATCAGGGGATTAATTGGTAAATTATGAGGTATCGATGATTTTTGAGTGTTCCATGGTCTTGCAGGAATGGGGATGGATTTAAATTGAGTGGCTTGACTCGATGAATTCGTTCAGGTGTTCAATTCCACTTGATAACTTAACTCCCTGTTGAATAACCCGCAAACCCCACGATGTTTGCGAGCTAAACCCCAACGGCTGTCATCCCCTTCCCAATTAACTCCTAAACCCTGTTTCCCTTTTTTTTTTTGAAAGGTTAACGTATCCGAGATCCGGTAATTAGGGCAACTTCGATCGCTCCCTTGATAAGACTCTCACGTATTTTTCAGTTTCACCTCGTGGATCGATTCGATAAAACACGACTCCAGGAGTTCACGCTCAACAGGCACATTTTCAACTCGTTAAAGATTATTCCGTTTTTCATGATTATTTTTTCTTCTCAATTCTATTTCCACGATCCTAATATCGTAATATAATCGTAATATAAACAGGAGAAAGGAAATCGATCTCGAAATATTTCGAATGATTGGTTAAATCTCAATCAAGTCGTGGTTAAATCTCAATCATTTCGAATATCTCGAGTGATCTCAATCAATAAAAAATAAAATATATTTCTTACCTTGCGTACTGCCGTTCAGCTGATAAGCTGATGGTACACCCGAGTAGATATTTGATGGATGCGTTGATGCTGGATTATTTGTTGATCCAGTAGAATGTGAATTGGCAGTCGTTGAGTTTGACAATCCAGTGTTTTGTTGATGGTGTTGATGGCTGTGTGTTGTATTTGTGAATTGATTGCCTGTTGATGATTGATGATGATGTTGCTGAGGGGTTGGTGGTTTCTGATTGTACGTGTCATTCGTCGGACCTTTAACAGACAATTTTTATTAAATTTTAACTGATAAAACTTTGGATAATTCACGTGAGGGTTTATCGGGGTGAAATTATTGTAGCGTAATTTGATGACGGGAATGTGGGCACCCAGTGGTCCCTCATTAGTCTAACCACCGATAAACTCAGACACATACTCTGTATCTTCTCGTGGCACTTCAACCTCGTTACAGAGACTGTGTGAATTTTCAATGTCCAGGTGGATGAATATTTCTCGAGTGTGTTAACCTCGTTTCAAGCAGCGGAAACAACGAACAAGTTGGAGCCTACTGACATTAATCCAAAGGGAGAGTAAATAATGGTTTAGCAGTTCAAAGGTTGTTTAAACAGGGAGTAATGAGATCCAGCAGTGGAAGGGGTGAACTCAAGGGAATATTCAATTTCTCCCAGTCATTATTTTATCAATCTTGTCGATGAATTTTTCCAATTATCATACAATCAATTTATCAACATAATATATAAATAAATGTATTATATATATAATATTAATAAATTCATTGAAATAGTATATTAAGTAGTATTAATATTTGGGGGAATAATATTGATTCCTTATGATATTATATCGTGAAGTATTTTTGCGGATGTTATTCTGGCGTTATATTTTAGCAAACGATATTTAGACATGTGGCCCGAAACAAAAAATTGATAAAGCATGAGAAATGAAGAGTCAGATGTCTCTCGATCTGGCGGTGCAATCGTGTGCTCTACTGACCCCCGGAAAAAAAATACATCACCGGCTCTTCATCACGATTGAATTTATATTCACCGGAGTAAATAAAAAAAAATGAGAATTGACTGCGGTAACCCCGGGGATTTTCACACCTTGCGCAAGCGCATTATCGTAAAGTGGAGATAAAGGATCGAGTGTCCCAGGGGTCTTCTGCGTCAATTAATCCCCGATCATTTTTTTTTGTTTATTTCACACGTCACCATCAATTTACTCCCCCTCCATTTATAATAATAACAATTAATCCTATAATTCAATTTTCATTCTAACTCAAAAATCATAAAAGAAAAAAAAAAAGGCGAAATATTCCATTTTCAGAATTCTCACGGTTTTCTCGAGAATTCGATAATTCGTGATACCCATTCATGATACCGGATAAGATGTGTCGTTCTTTTTTTTTTCAAATTGATGGATGAATTTTGGAGATTTACTCTTTTGTATTTTTCGTTTAAGTGCAAGAATCAATGATGGATTTTTAATTTTTTTTGCTCGCCTGTTTTATCATCGGTCGGTAATGCAGAAAAAATATAATTACCCTCCTCTGGTATGGGTGAGGTCGGACTATCTGGCAGTAGGATACCCTTCTGCACGAGCTCTTCTCGATTCGCTCTGACAGAAATTTTTCTCTCCAACGCTGAAAATTAATTGAATTAATGATAAGATAACGAGGTGAGAATTGATACGTGAGTTTACGGGAAATATCTCGGAAACAGAGGGAGATACCGAAACGATTGTGGGGAATTTTTTTGAGTTCTCGATTCACTCCACAAAAAAGGTCTTAATCAAAATTTTGATAGGTCTTTTAGATTCCGAGATATTCGCCGAAAACTCGAATGAGTGAACGGTAATTGGATTGAAGGGTTGAAGGGGATTTTGCCGGTTTGGATTCGTTTGATGATTATGGATGGATTGAAATTTTTATTTGGGGGAAATTTTATGCATAATCACTCACATCTTGAAGCAGCCTCGAACTTATCCGATTTCTTTTTTCGTTTCCACTTCCAGGGCTTGAATAATCTACCGAGTGCTGAGAATTTACTCTTTCGTTCGAGTGGTGGTGTACGTGCACCTGAACCCAGGCTATTCGTTCGCAGGGCTGCGCCATTTTGTTTTTTTGCTGTAACAAAATATTAAAAATGGTTTTTTTTACTTGAGTAAAATCATGTTCAATTTTCAATCAATAGAAAAATACTCTCAACGATTTATCGCTGAGAAAATCGGTATAGCTCTTTGGTTGTATTCTCTGTACGAAATTAAAATTGAAAGATAATTTTAATAAAAAGAGCCTGAGTGATGGAATGTTTCAAGATGTAGTTTTATCTTATCACAGTGATTCGGGTAACGGAATTCCCGCGTTATCGAGTCGAATTTGCGCCGACGTGTGTCGAATTATATTAAGATAAATGCGAAAATGAGTGGATAATTGATGTTTGGTGATAAATTCTCCCTTGTAACCGAAGAAATTCATTTCAGCCGCGCCCACATCCCAAAATCCATAAAAAATCACTATAAAACAATGACGACTCCTCCCTAAACAATGAAACACCCTCCGATAGTCGAAAAAGGGGGAAAATCACGGGAAAAAATTGAAAGTTGTTGTGTGCGCTGGAGTAATTTTTCATTGAAACATCGAACGGCTTTTAGGGTATTAAATCTAACCTCTGGAGTCCTATGCCGGGGCAAATGCCTGTATATACATGTTTGTTGGATAGTGGTTGCACTCTCGTTTGTCGCTATATATCGGGAGGGGGGAAATCGATACCCGATAAGTTCCTGACGTAGGGGTTTGAATTTACCGGAGGGTCTGGCTTGTCGATTACTTGACGGGTGCACTTGAGTTGCATGCCGATGACCCACGGCACTAATTGGCACATAAACAGAAAAACTCCTCTACTATCAACCCCTTAACCTAAAAAAAACTCTCTTTCCGAGATTATCCGAACGGCGGGGTGAACGCAGGGAGTCCAAACAGATCCCATTTTGTAGACCGCAAGAAATCCAGCAAAACTAAAAAAGAATTATCCTTCTGACCCCCATAGAACGGGAGTTACAACAGAAAATTGCAATAGTGATCAAGCGATCGATAAATGATCTATAAAAATTGATTTGGGATTTTCTCCGGACCTAGCCAAGCGAAATGAATAATTTTTTTTTCATTCGCTGGGAAATTTTGCACGTCATTCCATAGAGTTGGTTTCATTTACGTATTGCGAGAACTGTAATGGGAAATGCAGATGCCGCAGCCATATGACAACTCAGAGATTGTCAACGAGGAAGATCAAGTTGACTGCACCCAGAAATGACATTAACCGGTTGTCCAAGGGTTTTGGCCGTATAGCCATTGGGTTGTCAACCCGGTCCCAGGTAATTGGAGACAGAAAACAAAGTACCTACCCCTCCGCTACCAACAGTAACCATGGAAACAGAGCCCCTCTGTACGACATCCCTTATGCCAAGCTTAATACCCAGTGCCGTCAGTTCGGCAACCTCTGGTAGCTTTTATTTTCCACTCCATCCCGTCATCTCTTTCATGTATTAATTTGAGTAACGATACATCCGTCATTAACGTTTCGAAATTTAATTTCACGATAATGAGAGTACCATTTCACTCGATACTTCGTGGTTGAATTTTAACCGTAATTAACGATTTCTTTCTCCCCTCTCTCTCTGATTTTATGACGTGAGGGGGGAAAATCGTTATGGTAAGGATCAAGTGAACGTTACGGTGTTTTTCAGCGGTAGTTCGGGGAGGGGCTGCTGTCGTTCGTTATTTCACAACGGGGGTCGGCATTTTTTTTTTTCGACAAGTGGAGACAAGTGCAGTTAATGAGATTTTTTGGGGCTTCGATTTTCATTCAGGCCTACCATAGACCGAGATAATCCCAGCGTGAAAATCGAGTTGATTGGACGAACCATTTTTTCTTCGGAATGAATAAGGAAAATCTTGATAACGGAGGGATCAGCTTATGCACCTTGCACTAGTAATTCGTAATTAACATAAAATTTAGTCTATTTGAGGGAATAATTCCTGGAAATATCGGACGAATTTAAGAAGAAAATAGGAGAATAGGTTGAATTCGTTTCCTTGATAGTAGGTTTCCGATCATTCCACTGGAGTTGAGTTTAATCAGTTCCTAGGATCGATAATGAAGGGGAATTTGAGAATTTAATTGGGGAAATTTCAATGCAAGTCACTCGGTGTAATTGTTCAAACGGCCGTAGGCAAGCATCAAGTAGTAATACGAAATGTCGTCGATCACGGAATTGTGGAGAATGAGAACTGAGTGTGCGCGAAAATAAATCCAATGGAGTACAATGGAGATGGTGGACAGAGGGAGAGGACGCATCAGACTCAATTATCCACCAGACAATGAGAAAATGTCGTCTTGGGATTGAAAAATAAATAAGGGAAAAGGATTGGAGATATTCACGAGCCCGAGAGGAGTGCCTGATGTAATTGCAATTTCGGAGTCTATGTGACTTCAATGCACCTCGGATTCTTCACTATTTTTTTTCTTTTTTTTTTCATTCAGATAGCCTGTGTATCGTGCCGAAATTCAATACCCCGGTGAAAAGTTTTTTTCAGTGGGCGAGAGGGATAAAGAATGAGTGCAGCATCAATAATCGAGGGACTACGAGCCCATGGCCTTGTTTTCCACTGCACTCGAGGTGGACGATTTCTCGACTGATGGAGCGTGGTTAGGTGCCCCCAATTTTCCAACTTCTGCATGACCGCAAAACCGTGAGAATCCATTTTTACCTTCAAACTTCCATTCATCCACCTCAATACTTTCCCTTCCGCAAAAAACAACGAAAGATTATCAATGAAAATATTCATCACATGAATTTGTGAAATTTTTTGTTTTTATCAATCTCAATATAAAAAGGAGAAAGGAAATTGATTTCGAAATATTCCAAATGACCGTAAGGGTGAGACTCTTGTCGAAAAATGTAAAAAATTAGAGAATCATTGCGAAAACCGATGGAGGCTGCAAATAATCGCACAAATTTATAGATCCTAAATCAGTAACTGTTAGGGTGCAGTATTGGTTTTGGTGGGAGGGACATCCGGAAGCCTCGGAAGGGGAACAAATGTCGCTCATAAAAGCGTTGAATGCACAAGAGAGCGTACGCCTAGCACCGTTACTCCCGTATGTGTAAAATGAATTTAAAAAAAAAATATATACATATACATTGGAGTCGAGGCGTGGAGGACCGTCTCTCTTTCACTCGTTTACCTTCGTTACCGCCACCTCACTTTTACTCCGATCCGCAATAGTGTGTGTACGCAGGGAATAACGTAGGTGATACGTAGGACAGGAGATAAGCTGTTGCATGGCTTGCGTACTCGAGCGATGCGTCACGAGAAAAAAAAGTCATGTCATTGGGACCGTGACTGAGATTTATTCAGCGAGTGCTCATTTCACTGGTGCATTCCCACGCTCTTACGCAATTCGGGATTTTTCTGAAGAAGGATCGAAGTCGGGGGACGATGAGGGCCGTAATCAAAAGACTGCGAAATTTCCAATTTAGGGGAAAAAAAATTATTCAATTCGGACCAGTAGAACAGGAGTTACGGCGGAAAATGTAGAATGATCTAGAAATCGATGAATGATCTACAAAACAGTAATTTCGGATTTTCTCCGGATGTATCGGGCCAAAATGAACGGTTTTTTTTTTAATTCCGTGTCATTTCTCCAGATCTATCGAATGGGGTCACTTTCGACCCCCAATAGTGTCATCGAAACGACTCGTGGATCCGTGGACCGTGGAAAAATAATAGAGGAATGCGCAAACTTCTTCAACTCTTATTTTCAACAGGATATTGACTCAATACGTGCTATGCATGTCACAGAAGGTCGCATACCATTGGCTCGCGGGTAAACATTGGACGCATACCACTGGGGGCTTGGCAATACACTCACCTAAACAAAACGAGTGAAAAAAAAAGGAAAAATAACTGATGACCCTGTTATTATTTCTCATCTCCGTGGGTTCATAACCGAACGAGTAGGATGTCAAAGTCAGTGACTTACTCGACCTAATAAAGCTTGAATAAATTACCGAGTGACTTGAACAAAAAGGTGAATGTTTTTTTTTTTTCAATGCCTACGCACGCTCCCGATACCCACGCGACCAATGGGAGTGAAGAAGACATTGGGAGATGATGCATCACGACCCACACCCTTTTTTCCAGATTAAAACGAGGCGAATTCCGAGGATCTTCATATTTCCACATAGAATGCTTGACATTTTCCGTCATTTTTAGAGCAATTTTCTTTAATTTTCTTATTCCCTACGACTTTTCTCTGAAAATATAAACGTCAATAAAATCCACCGAATCTAATTAATGGGCATCAAAATTGATTGAATTGAAATCAGAAGTTGGGAACAAGTGGCGAAAAAAAAATAATAAAAATGGGATAATCAATCCGGAAGACAAATGCTAATTAAGTAGTGGTAATTAGATTGATTGATAAGATACGCAATTATTCGCGTGTTTGAGGGAAAATTGAATGGAATTTGAATAATTTTGTTTATCGAAATTTTTCACTAACATTTACACTTTCCTCGTTTTTCCCTCGGCTGATCAGACTTCAGCATCACGCCATTCCCCACTCAAGGCACATCACAACCCAACGCAATACAATTTCAAAGAATTTCTCCACCCACAAAAATAAATATCTGATAAACTTGTTCTTGCAGATGATATTCTAGCAGCGACACAAGCTCCACTGGTGCTTGCCGCTGCTCAAGCAATCACTCGAAGGCACCTCGAAAAAACTGGATAGTTGCCAGAGGTGAGACTCACCGATCAACGATGAACAGCCAGAGATAAATAATAAACTTGTGAAATGAGTGGATGAATCAATAAAAATTCCCCAGAACTCCCGGATAGAGGGATCAACGGCTCAAAGCAGCCGGAAGTGGAAAAATAATTCCAGAGAAATTGTTTCAACTCCGGAAACGTCTCAGGACAATTTTCCAGGGTTCATTGGATTGAATGAAGAAATTTGCGAAATTCTCGGGATCAATTTGATTCTCTGCACTTTTTCGAATGGATTTTTTTTGTGCTGATGCGTCTATTTGATTTCTGAGATCATCTACGAGGTGGCA